TTTATGTTGCTGTTCTCCCTAAATTTTCCGAGGAAGGGGAAGGCAATATATGACCATTTATTGAGATTCATGACATATAACAAGAGAGATAACAATTATTATTAAACCCAATTGATCCATGCGACTTCTCACGATGATCCATCCGACTTCTCATGTGCACAGCTCGTGTCGTTGTTGTCTTCGCAATCGGATGCCGGATTCTGGTTGCTCTGAAAATAGAACGAATTATTGAATAACCTCTAATAAAGAATTAATAATTATGGAAGAACCTCAATGCATTTAATATCACCTAAGGACATGACATCCGAAATATATATGAGATAGTATTCCTACAAATTTTATCTAAATTATGTCAGGGTTATAATAGCTTCTACTGTACTGGAAGTACTGCATCATGTTAGCGTAGAGACGGACAGTCTTCGGCAACCGATGGACGAAGGCTAATGAAGATTACTTCAACTTCTTCTTGATGCGAAGATCGTTCGAGTGTCCGCACTTCTTTTTTCTGCAGTTGATGGCATGTGGTGGGAAACGATCGTAGCACTTTCTCCAGATCTACTTGTCGCAGTTGTACTTCTGGGTGAGCTGACGGAGCGATGGCTCGAGCCTAGAAAATCAATAAATATTGGAACATTACATATTTCAGTTACTCACCTCAAAAAAACGTCGAAAATCGAGCTTTCTTCCATTCGCTCACTTGGCTCATCACTGCACGAGGCGGTTGCATTGGACTTCTCACCTTAATAAATAAGTTGAAACTTTTTTCAACTAATTTTCACTGAAAAAGGGGAAAAAACGAGAAAAAACGAGCGAAAACGAAAGAAAACATCGAAAAATATTGAAAAAAAAATATTCGTCTTCTCGGCCTAATGCATTAAAGTATGATTGTCAGTCAACGAACTCTCAGCAGCCAATTGAGAATTTTCGAAAAAATTACTGGGGCGCGCTTTCTGACCCCCTCGCCTGAACCCACGTGCCAACGTTTAAAAGTTTGATCCTCAGCCAAATTTTCAGCAATTCAGCAGCGAATTTTTATCTAAAATCTCACGTTTACTGGGGCGCGATTTCTGACCCGTTGCCTTGGACCCAAGTGTTTTCGGTGATTTTATAAAGATTTTTTCCAATTTCCTAGCAAAACGACATTAGATAATGTATCAGAAACAACACTCGGTATCTTCAAAAACGGAGACGCAGACAGTTAGAGTGTAGCGAATTTCAGTGTTAGAACGCACGTCTATGATTCACTGGTCATGTGAGAGAAAAATGACCAGTCACACTATAGCTAGTAACTCGCTTCAAATTCGATATTTTTGAATGAAACCAATTGAGAAATGTAGGTCTTGAAAAGAGCTTCAACATGATATATAACATATATTATTTTACTTTATCTAGGTTGAGAGGGATAAAGAGGCGAAGAGAAACATCATGAAAGCTCTCATAGAATGCTACATGCACTTTGAACCAAATTATCTCTGTTACTAAAAGAGATAGCAAAACTTTGTTAACATTCAAAATGTAGATAATCTTATGAAAAACATTTTAGTTGCAAACAAATTATAGATATCTATTATAAGAACCGAGATAATTGAGCTCAAAGTGGACAAGTATGATGGTGATGTAATCAGCGGACCGACACGCGCCCAATTAAGCTCAATTATCTCGGTTGCTATGAAAAATATCAAAAAGTGGTCAACTAATAAAATGTAGGCGATGTCATGAAAAACATTTCAACAGTTAAAAAATTTCGAATATCTCTTGTAGTAACCGAGATAATTGAGCTCAAAGTGCAGGAAGCGTTCTATTGAAGCAGGCGCATCCCCCAAAAAACTCGCAAATTCAAAAACAGGCTAAATATATATCATGTTGTAGCCCTTCAAAAGTTCTATTTAATGCTTTTTGAATTTTTCAAAAATCTCAATGTTGAAAAAAGTTAGAAGCGAAAAACTGAGTGAAGCAATGGGAATAGCGTTCAAAACCGAAAGTGGAGAGGTGACACTCAATGACGAATGAATCAAGGAAAAAGAAAACGGCAATGAGAGGGAGAGAGAGAGAGAGTGGAGAGAATTTAGAGAAAAAAGGACACAGAGAGAGGGCACATATAATAAAATTCGAAAATAAAAAACAGAGAAGAAAAAGGAGAAGGAAGAAGAAGGGAAAACAACAGACAGCAATTTTTTCGTCTGCGTCTCTCTGAGAAAATTCAAAAAGTGAATGGGAAAAAGGAATCTTATATTTTCGGAAATTAGAAAAAAAGGGAGAAGGAGACGCAGACAGTTAGCGAGTAGCGAATTTCAGTGCTAGAACACACGTTTATGATTTACTGGTCATGTGAGTGAAATGACCAATGACACTATGGCTGGTAAATCGCTTCAAAGTTTTAAATTTTGAGTGGAACCAGGTGAAAATTGACTTTTTGTTATCAATTTTCTCGGTTCCTGTTAGACATATAAAACAACGGTCAAATGAAAAAATGTTAGTGATATTATGATTAACATTTTATAAGTTGGCAACTTTTTGATATCGTTCAGAGGAAACGAGATAACTAGGCTTAGAAATCGTCTCGTGAGCTCACTTATTATGCTTGTCTGAGAAAAAAAAGGTTAGAGAGTATTTTTTGCAGTCTGAGTACGGTAGCGTTATCGAAGCGGAGAGCCTAAATAGCACACAAACGGTGGAGACGCAGACACTTTTTCTCTGCGTCTCAACCTTTTTTTTCTCAGACAAGCATAATATCTTGGTTCCTATGAAAGATATCAAAAATCCGTCAACTGATGAAATGTTTATGATATTATCATAAGCATTTTATCAGTTCACAACTTTTTGATATCTTCCACAGGAACGAGATGAATAGGCTAAAAGTTGGGGGAGAGACGCAGACAACTAGACACTCTAACTGTCTGCGCTTTTTTCTATGTCCTCCACCTTTGCGGTTGTCTGGAAAGTAGACTTCTTTTTCTGAAAGTGAAAAATCAAGAAAAAAAAGAAGACGTGGAAGGCGCCGCAGGAAATTGGAAGGCGTCGGCGGAGAAAAGGGATTTGGAGGGAAATGGAGATTTTTGGCATTTCGGGATAATGGGATTTTTTGAGAGGGGGGGGGGATATTCTGATCCAGATATAAGACAAAAGATTTTGGAAAAGTCTTTTGGTATTTTTCTTCCTTTGTTTCGTAGAGGAATAGGAAGGAACGGGACCCTAAATGTTTCAATTTCTGAAAAAATACCAACTTTCCAGTTCTTCTGAGAGCTGAGATACATTTAAAGAGGCTAGACACATTGTAAAAACGAGAGAGCGCAGACAACGAGACTATCTAGTTGTCTGCGCCTCTTTAAAACTAGAAACACCCAAATCTCGACTCCCCGATGAGCTGGAAACTTGGTTCTTTCAGCGAATGGTCTATTTTTCGTCTATTTTCCAAAACTTTATTGGAAATACTTTTCATTACTACCATTTTTAAGAAAAAAAATGCTAAAAAATTACCTATCGAATATATTCGATAGGAAACTATGACAAGTACGAGGGTGAGGGAGGAGAATTATATAAAAGCAGAACAAAACGGAGCAACTGAAAAAAAAAGCTAAAAGAGCTGAAGCGGCGGATTACTATGGAAACCTAACACCTTCTTTTTTTTAGTTTTAGGTAAGACGAATTCAGCAATAGAGCGCACTTGCAGGATTAGATTTTGAATTAAGACTCTAGAGATTTGGGTCACATTTCCAGAAAAAAATGTGAGAGGAAATATTGGGAGCTCTCAATTTCGGCAAGGATTTTTAGTTTTACAAAAAATTATTAAAGTTTATGAAATATCTAAAATGGTCTCACAAAACGGTCCAAATTTTATTTAACTGGCTCATCTAGAAGCCCAGATATCGTCGTTCGAAAATTCACAGACAATTAGATCGTCTCGCTGTATCTCAAGTTCTAAAAGAGCTAGAATGTCGATCCTTTTTCTGACATATTGAATGTTTTGTATATTTTTTAAATTTATTGAGAATTTATTGAAATTCCAGAAGTTTGATTGTTCTTCAAGGATTTAAAATCAGAAAATTGATAAGAATTTTTATTTTATGACTTACCATGGCAAATCGTGCGTTTCACATTTATACGGTCACCCTAAATATGAAGTATAACAGGAGAACCGATAAAAAATAGGTATTTGGTGACTAAAAATCGGATTCGGGACCTCAAATTACATACACTTGATGATTTCCATTATAATACCAGCAAAACTGGCCAAAATTAGGCTCCCCTGACTCAGAAGACAGTCTATTGGTGTGGTTCGGAGAAGATAGTCTTCTGGTGTGGTGTGCTTTGTCTTCGGTGGGATATCTCAAGATGGCACTTGCACCTAGTCGTATGAACTTTGAGGATTATCAAAAAGGGTTCGTTGTCGATTCCATCACCGTCATACTTGTAATCCGGGCCTTCGCGGGCCCTGCCATAACTTCTTTCAGAATCAATGTTTTCGAACCAACTTAATCAGGTATGGTAGAGCTCCACGAGTACTACAAAACGGTATTATTTGAAATACTGTATCTTGTCTATGAACAGAGTTACAGAGCAAAAGGAACAAAAAAACAGGCCCAGCCGGGGGCCTGCCGGGCCCTGCGAGAAAAGCCACTTTATGACCTGTAACTTTGTTCATAGATAAGATACAATATTTCAAATAATACCGTTTTGTAGTACTCGTGGAGCTCCATCATACCTGATTTAGTTGGTTTGAAAATATCGATTCTGAAAGAAATTATGGCAGGGCCCGCGAAGGCCCGGATTACAAGTTTTTTTTCCTCAATTTGTATGATTCCAACCCGAAAAAATCAAAGTTCTGCTATGGCTAGTTGTCTCTTTGGATTGGAGTTTTATGAATAACGTTCTATGTGAGTATTTACCACCATTGCAGACAATGCAGAACCAGTGGGGTGCTCAGGAATGCGATCGCGGCCGTATGGTCCGATTCGGAGCAGAAGATCAGTTCAAGACCACCAGTACATTCCAAATTTTCTTCAATGTATGTCAAACCGTACCTTTGATGTTATTACATTGAATAGGGCTGCCATCAAATATTAAATTGCCTAGCCATTTTTTAGGAGTCTAATTATGCCAGTTTTGCTGGTATAATCATGAAAATCATCAAATGCATGTAATTTGATGTCTTGAATCTGATTTTTTAGTCACCAAATACCTATTTTTATCGGTTCTCCTGATATACTCCAAAATTAGGGTGACCATATACCGTATTTCCTCTAATAGAAGCTTACCCTCTGACGTGCTTAAAAACATAGAAGCGCATCCTCTGACAGAAGTACGGGCAGTTAGTGCAGTTTGAACAGTTAAGTTCGTCTTTTTGGTTATTGTAGACATTCCCTTTCTATTTAAAAGAAAATTTCTGGTAATTTCAGTTTTTGTTAATTTCCTAAAAAGGAGGCTGAAAAATAGAAGCCCATGGGCTTCAATTAGAGGAAATACGGTAAATGGGAAACGCACTGTATATGAGTCATTGTTATGAACACAAAGAGAAGTTATTGATTCAAATGTCGGAAAATAGAAAAAACACACATTTACCGTAAAACCTCTAATAGAACGACACTTGGATCGTCCACTTTGATCCTATATATCTCATTTTCTGTGAAAGATATCAAAAAGTGGCTAACTAATAAAATGTTGCTGATATCCTGATAAACATTTTACTAGTTAAACACTTTTTGATATCTTTCAAAAGAAGTGAGATATATAGGCTCAAATTGGACGATCCGGGTGTCGTTCTATTAGAGGTTTTACGGTAAACTTTTGTTGGCTCATTTTTCAAATGACAACTCGAGAGAGAAATTGGTCTAGAACCAATAGGAAAAACAACAACTTTTGGAGGGGATATGAGGATTACGGTAGCTGCTAAACAGAGCTAAAAATTACAGAAAAAAGTCGAAAATTGTGGAAGATCGGCTGGAATTTTCAGAGAAAACTGGAAAAAAAGAAACCAGAAATTTATAAAAATTGATTTCCTGGAATTTTCAGAAAAAGGAAAGAATACACGAAAAAGGCTGAAAATTTGGCTGGAAATTTGAGGAAGGTTCTGCCATGCAGCTACGCCAAAAAACATTTGAAATGATTATTTTAAAAAAAGAGATTCCGAAATTTCGGTACAGAAAAATGTGGATCTTTGTAGTTTGTAGTGCTTTGGAGAATTCTGAAAAAAATGATTTTTATTGTTTCTGATGAATTTCTGTATGAAAACAAATTTTTGGAATTTTCGCATCTTTGAATTTCTGATTTTTTTTACAATTTCCGAAATTTCAGATTTTCTCAATTTCTGAATTTCGAAATATTAGGTTGGCGGGAAAGTCTTTGTCACTTTTTCAATAGTTTATTTCTCAAAGAAAAAATAACCGAATAATTAATTATATTGTCCATCATTATCAACAACATGTCTCCAACGTTCCCTCAATTTATGGATTCCATTGCGGTAGAATCCAGCCGGGCGTGAGGCAAAGTATTGTTTGAGTGCCGCTTCGACCGCTCCACGGGAATTGAAGCTTCTTCCTTCGAAGGCACGTGTCATATCGCCAAATAACCAATAGTCGGAAGGAGCAAGATCAGGAGAATACGGGGGGTGAGGGAGAACATTCCATCCATATCCCATCAGCTCCTGCTTCACTTGTTTCGAAACATGTGGGCGAGCGTTATCATGTTGCTAGTACACTTTCTTGTCTTTCAGGGCCGAACGGTCGACTGCTTTCTTGAGGTTTCGTAGTTGAGTAGTGTAGAGGTCTCCAGTTATTGTTTTGCCCTCGGGCAGAAGTTCCCAGTAGATGGGGCCGTCCACTCCCCACCACACAGAGAGCATAACTTTTTTCGGATGAAGGTCGGGTTTGGGGACATCCTGTGGGCTCTCTCCTTCTCCAACCCACTGGGATTTCCTGTGGTGATTATCGTAGAAGACCCACTTCTCATCTCCGGTTATTAGCCGGTCCAGCCATCGATCGCCCGCGTGGAGAGTGAGAAGAGTAATCGAATCGTCGACTCGGCGGTCAAGGTTGGCTTGAGTCAGGTGATGAGGTATGAATCGACCAAAAAGTTTTCTCATTCCAAGAGACTTCAAACCTTCAAGGACTGTGCTATGGTGAACTCCGAATGTGACAGCTAGTTCACGGCTAGATTGAAATGGATCCGATTGCAATGCGTGCTTCAGCTTGTCCAAATCCAACTCACGGGGTCTCCCAGAGCGATCCTTTTCATCGAGCGAGAAGTCATCTTTTTCGAAACGATGGAACCAATTGCGAATAGTATTGTAGTGAGGGGCATGTGTGTTGTACACATTCTTCAAGAAAGTTTCCGAATCCTTCATCGTGGTGTGAGATAGGAAGAGGTAAATCAAAACATGTCTGATGTGAATAGCAGTGGGAACAAACATATCGTTTCAATTACAGATGAGGAGCAGGGAAGGAGATGGGGACTTGTTTATATGGAAGGTTCTTATCACCTTGTTATTCACTAGAGTCGATATCATACACAGCCTCCATATACGAGAACAGTGATTAAACAAACAGAGTGACAAAGACTTTCCCGCCAACCTAATATCTAAAATAGTTCAAGCATACAGTTTCGAAAGTATTCAAGACCGTCCCTTGTAACCCAATTCTGGAGACGAAGCAAACGATACTGCGTAGTCTGAAAAAAGAAATTTCGAAATAATTCGCTACTACAGTAATTTTTAAAGGCGCATAGGTCATTTTTAGAAGCGCATAATTTTAAAGGTGCATAGCTTTAAAGGCGCATAGCTGATCTTTGAAGGCGCATAGCGATTATTTTGATCAAATTCCAAACATTTTTGGTCCAGCTTCAGTGATTTGGAGCATGGAAACTTAGGGAAAGTGGAACATAATCTTACCAGATTCATCCTCTAATTTTTTGGTTTCTGGAGACGATGGTGGTCGGGTTTGGGTTAGATCTGGAGATCCTTGAACTTGCTTCGAAGATCCTAGATCGTCTGTGGTAGAAGTATAAGACGTTGGAGCTTCAGAAGCTCCCTCCACAAGACTCCGGGTGAGATTCTGATTCTCTGAAAATAAAGAAATTTCTGAAAATCAGACTTCCTAGACACTTACCTTGATCTTCAGGTTCCTCAGCTGGCCTTCCAAAGGGCAGTATCCTTGTAAGACCAGTACTAGACGAAAAGTAAGCACTGGGAATCTGATGGGCCAGAAATGGGGAGTCCGGGCAGGGATCCATACCCGGATAGGTTTGGAAAAACTCATGAGAAGGATCTATGTACCCTGTTTGACTGATGAGAGCTTCAAGATTAGGATCCATGGGGCCCATGGAGGCTGCAAGGAGGTTCCTAGGTGTCGATCGGGAGGTTCCGAGGTTCAAAGGACCAGTGAGGTTTGAATCGGCAGGTCGTCCGATCCCCAAGCTTCCCATTCCTGCCATATTGACCATCGCAAGGTTGAACACTGACTGAGCAAGGATCGCAGAGCTCCTTTGTTGGTCCAAGGCGGATGGATTAGGATGTGGAGCTGTTGCTAGGGTCCCTAGAAGCGACGCTGATGGTCCGTGAAGGTCTCCGATTGTTGGTTGTCCGATAGCGGTCATCGCTAAACACCCTTGATCGTAGATTGATTTTCGGAAGCTTCCATTGGATTCTCCCACAGCGAATTCAGGAGCAGCGGATGGTCCCAGTTGGGCAGGTTGTCCGATAGCAGGCAAGCTCAAAGACCCTTGGACCGTACCTGAGGCTTTTTGGACCGCCCGAGCTGATGAGAAGGCTGACAGGGCCCCTAGATTGACCCCAGACTGAAATTCAAGGTTCTTTGATGGTCCATCTAGACCAGTCAGGTTGGCAGAAGAGCACGCTTCTGGACCGCTGAAGCTTCTAAAAGGTTCTCCGAGAGTGTTAGATGGGAATTCAAGAGCAGAAGATGGTTCGAGACCATTAACATAGGCATATGATTGGCCAAATGTCAATCTCGAAGACCCTTGAATCGTTCCAGACGCTTTTTGGACCTCGGATTGTTCGTTTAGACCGCCCATGCCCACGCCAATGGAAGATCATGGACCTGCGGAACCTCCTGGAATCGAGTTTCCTGATTCTATCGTCTCCTGATCATTATCATCCTCACTATCAGAAGACACTGTCACATAATCCGCTGGTTGAGAAGACATCCGAGAGATTCTTTGAGGTTGGAGTGCTCGAATAAGCAGCGAATTGGCTTGCATAGACATCCAGTTGGATGTGGATGGTCCAGCTGATTCTTGAGAGTTTCCAAAGATGGTTGACTGGTTGATAAGAGGCATGGTGGCCATGGCTTCGGCCACGGAAGACGTCAAAGCGCCATTGACGGTTGTTAAGGGCATCCAGGTAGCTGATCCTTGAGAATTTGGGAGACTAGAGGTGGAAATGGCCGTCGTGTAAGAGGAAGCAGAGGTTTCGGGTAGCCAGGTTGATCCTAAAAGCCCGGAATTCAAGGTCCCTGGAGCAGAAAATTGAGCTAAAGAAGATCCTGGAGCAATTTCTGATTGCGGCAAATCGCTCATCTGCCCAAGTGGCAATTCCGGCACCATTTGCACTTTGACTGGCAAGGAGAGCCTCCATTTTCGAGGTCCAAGGATCTTATTGAAGCTTGCCGATCGCTTCCTATAATCCTCCTTGATTCTCTTGACGTCTAGCTCCGCCTTCTCCTCCATGATCCGTTTTCGGAGCTCTTTTGACCTCTTCTCCCGCCGTCGCTGATCCTTTAGAGTGGCCACTGGAACATTCTCAAACTTCTTAAAGATCTTCTCAACGGGACACAATTTCTCCATGATTAGATAGTTCATGTAGTTGATGGCGTAAACTTCGGAACCTTCGGAAGTGATTCTGGCCAAGCAAACAGTGTCTGGGACCTTTCCCGGATCGAATTTCAGCTCTTCCAGATAGACTTGCTTAAATCCATTGGGGGTCAGAATCCATTGCTCATCCACCAAAGTCACTCGATTCTTGGCATGGATCACTTGAGTTTGAAGCGTTTTTGAGTATTCTGCATAGCTGGGAGATAACGATTTATTGGTTACGGTAGCTGCGCAAGATGTGCAGATGCAGAAGAATCTTTGGAGTTTTTTGTCTTTGAGGATGAAGGCATGGTAGAGACCAGAGGATGGGATTAAGGCGCATAGGGTTAGGAAATGGTAGAGCGGGCAGAAGACAACTTTGAATTTGGGAAGGAGCTTGTTAAAGCTGAGCAATGCCGAGTCATCGGGGTCTCCAGAGTCTTTAGAGGCTTCAGGATCTTCTTCAGCAGGCCCATCATCCACCAAGGTCTTCACTTCAGCCTCCTTCATCGGTCCTCCGTACTTGCTGATCTTATAAAGTGGTCCTTGCTGATCCTTAGTGATTACAATGGTCCCATTATCCATTAAAATTGATCTATGACTCCTCAGAAAACCTTCAGAGGTTCCTCCTGAGGCTTCAGAATCTTCCAGAACCATCTGAACCAGTCCTCCAGTCCCCTTATCCAATCTATACTGCTCTTTTCGATTTGTAAACGAATTGAAGCAAATCAGAACGTCTTCTTTTAGGGATTCAGAATGTTTTGCTCTCAACGGAGTCAAGTCCTTTTCCAGAATTTTTCCTTGGCACTGGCAGGCATGATGTTGAAAATTGCCCGATTTGTATTCCATTTTATAAAAGCGATTATCTGGGATTCGTGGAATTCCGATTACGGTAGTTTTGGGGTGAGCTGAGCAGTTGGCCATGGCGAATGGAGCAAGCAGGGTTCAGGTGGTGTCGAAAAGGGGCGGAGCTGGATAATTGTTATCGTAGCCGGGAAGATAGTCCATGTCAGGTGGAATCCATGGTTTGGGGGCCAAGTTTGGGAACATTCTGGAAGAAAAAAAAATGATATAGAAGTTTTGAGAGGGTTCTTGAACTTTAAAAACAAACATTTGGAGCGCTTTGGAGTATGTTGAAATATAGAAAAGTCTCTAGAAAGTTCTGAAAGCGTCTTTTCAGAATCTGCGAATTTCAAAAATTTAGAATCCTCCAACTTAATATTCAAGAACTTCAAAATTCCGAATTTCAGTATTTTAGCATTTCAGAATATCAGAAATTCGAAATTTAGAAATTCAGAATTTGTTCTGAAATTCTGAGATTCTGAACTTTTGGAATTTTTTAATGCTGTGGTCTAGTATCTGGGATTCAAAAGCTTGAATTTTTAAAAATTTTCGGATTTTAAAACTTTTTGTACTTTTGAAATCTCTGAAATTCCGATATTCTAAAATTCTGTAAATTTTTGGAATTCTGAGGTTTTGAAAAAAACTTTCAAAATATTTAAAAATCTTGAATTATTTCCAGAAAATTTCGAGAAAACTTTTCTAATTATTTTGTGAGACAAAAGAAAATTCTGAAACTGTTTAAAAATTTTTAAAAAAATAGGGGAATTCTCATCATTTCAGACTAAATAGTCTCAGAAAATTCTGTAAAATTTGAAAAAAAAAGTTTCAATTTGAAAATTTTAATATTCAAAATTCCTGAATTTTTTAATTTTTGAATCCTAGAACTCAGAATTCAAAAACTTCGGAAATTCAAAAATTCAGAAAATTCTAGATTTTTTATACGAAAAACAATTTCCTGAAACTTCTGAACTTTTCTTCAAAAAATGTATTTTCCCACCAAAATTATCCAAAAATTCCAAGAAAAAAAAGTCCCACACTCTCAACAAAACTTGATTTTTTAGTTTTTTTTTTCCAGAAAGTTCTAGAAATTTTCTGGAACTTTCGTGAAGAAAATTTTCAAAAAATATCGAAAGTTTGGATTTGAAGAAAAAAGGAAAAATGAATCGGAAGAAGTTGCCTAGAAACAATATGTAAAAAAGGAAAATTTTGGGCTCTGCGGAGAAAGAAAAAAAAAGAGATTCATAAAACAAAAAGTATAATAAAAATGGATGACGTCAAACAGTTTTTTTTCCGTTTTCAGATGACGTGGATTCGGAAAATTGAAATTCTAGAAGTTCAAAATTATTTAGGAACTCAGAATTTCCGAATCTCAAAGTTTCCGAATCTCGAAATTTCAAAATTTCAGAATTCCGATTATTCAGGATTTCAAAATCTCACAAATTCAGAACTTCAGAATATCAAAATCTCGGAATCTCAGAATTTCAGAATTTCAGAATTCCAGAATTTCAGAATTTCGGAATTTCAGAATTTCAGAATCTCAGAATCTCAAAGTTTCAGAACTGTAAAATTTCAGAATATCAGAATTTCAGAGTTTCAGAATTTTAGAATTTCAGAATTCCAGAATTTCAGAATCTCGAAAACTCAGAATTTCAGAATTTCAGAAATTTAGAATCATAGAGCTTGAGAATCCAGAATTTTAGAATTTCAGAATCTATGAACCTAAGCATTTGAGGATCTAAGAATCTAAGAATTTCAGAAAAAAAAATTCCAAAATTGAAAAAATGCAACATTTTCAGAATTTTTCTCTGAAAATTCCAGAAAACTCTCACCTCCACGCCGGCGGACCCAGAAATAATTATGGCATAACCTAGAAAAAAAAATTTAGGTCATGACCTGAAAAAAATTAAGCCATGACCTAGAAAAAAATTAGAGCATGGCCTAGAAAAAATTAGGTCATGACCCAGTAAAAATTAGGTCATGACCTGGAAAAAATTAGGTCATGACCTAGTAAAAATTAGGTCATGACCTAGAAAAAGTTATGGCATAACCTAGATAAAATTAGGTCATGACCTAGTTAAAATTATGTCATGACCTAGAAAAAAGTAGGTCATGACCTAGTAAAAAATTAGGTCATGACCTAGATAAAATTAGGTCATGACCTAGAAAAAAAATTAGAGCATGGCCTAGAAAAAATTAGGTCATGACCTAGATAAAATTAGGTCATAACCTAGAAAAAAGTAGGTCATGACCTAGAAATTTTTTTTTAATTAGGTCATGAAGTTTGAAAAAAAAATACATTTTATTTTTTCAGGTAAATCCAGCAAGCACCAGAATCTCAATTCGTCATCTGCATCTCCAATTTTTTCCAAAAACCATTAATTAACTTTTCGCCCTCATCGAGAATTTTTTTGTAATTTTTTCTGATATTTTCCCCTTATCTTCTCAAAATTTATATTAATTTCATAATGAAAATTCCGAATAAATCTAACTTATCTTTTAAACCTTTTCCAATCAATCAATCTGAAATTTCAAAAAACGCATTAAAACTAGAAAAATCGATATTTGTGTCTTTCCAGTGGCTAAACAAGCAGTTTTATGCATTTTCTAACCTATTGTAAGCTTAAAAATTTAAAGTTTTAACCAGAATAACCGGAAAATAGCTTTATTAAAACGATTTAGATGTTAAAATCTGCTTGCCGACAATTAAACAACGGCACTCCGCTGTCCCATTTCATTTTATTTCGGAAATATAAATTTTTAATTATTTTTGACCTATATTTCATTTTTAAAACAGTTTTAAATCAATTAAAAATCCAATTCGCTCGTTTTCCAGACTATAAGTTTGCTGAAAAAATCTGCAAAAAAAAACCTTTTTTGTTTAAAATTCGAATTTCCCGCGGCTAAAAGCTGCAAGCGCGCTCTAAGGAGAATTCGAAATTTGGAGCGAAACCCGTTTTTTCGAAAGCTTTCGATGATTTTTCAACGATTTTCAGCTTATTGAAAGACTTTTTAAAGCTGAAAACCCGAAAAATCAGCTGAAAAATTAAATAAACTGTATTACAGGTAGAAAATTCGGCGGGAATTCGCCAAAAATCTAATAAAAAACTATGGAAAATCCGGAAAAAGTAAAAAATCCCCTGATTTTTTGAAAATTGAAGTTGTTTTTTCAGTTTTTCTGCAAATGGGACACCTGTCGCGCTGAATTCAGCTCTCAACTCGATATGGGGCTTCACGTCCTCACCAATCATCTGGAAATCCTCGATTATGGACATTTTGTGCTCCAGAAGAGCGTCGTCAAGGCTCCAGAAGAGCCGGCGGCGAAGAAGCCGAGAATCGAGGCTCCAGAGTCTTCTAGAACATTTTTAGAACCTCGAGAGTCGTTCCCGACGTCTTCTGAACTCCAATTTCCACGTCTTCAGGATTCTAGAAAGTGTTCTAGAGTTCTAGAATTGGAGGATGAAACTGAATACGTGGAGAATTCTGTGGGCGAGAAGACTAAAATTCCCAGGCAAATGGATTCAGATGATGCTGTGGCGATGCCAATTTTAGAGAAAATAGTTCCAGTGGAAACTTCGAGAAAAGTTCGTGAAATCCGTGCGGGGAAAATGCTGAGAAATGGGCTGGAAAAAGCTATAACAATCACTGGAAACAAGCAAAATTCACCTGAAAAAACCGGAAAAATCCATGGAAAATCATCTGAAATCAGTGAGAAAGGACTGAAAATTAATCTAAAAAATCAGTAAAATCAGCCAATTTTTCACTGAAAATCGACCAAAAAAAAGGCGAAAAAAAATGCTAAAATGACATTTAAAATCAGTGAAAACAGCTTAAAATTAATCAAAATCGACTAAAATTTACTGAAAACACCGAACATATGGCTGAAATTCAGCTGAAATTTGTCTGGAATCATCCTAAATGAACTCTAAAGAGTACATGCTGAAATGCGTCCAAGTTAGCGAAAATTTGCTATAAAATAGTCAAAATCGACTGAAGTTGCTCAAAAAAGGCTCTGAAATTGCTCAAAATCAGCTAAACCCCTCTGTCTGGGATCGGTGAAAATAAACTCTAACAGGTATACGCTGAAATTCAGCCAAAATTCGTCTGGAATTGGACATTTTCAGCATATACCCATTAGATTTAATTTGGGCGTTCCTGGACGAATTTTGGCTGAATTTCAGCGATTTTTTCGATGTTTTTAGAAAATTTTAGTCGATTTTGACCAATTTTGAGCTGATTCGCAACACTTTTGTCGCATTTTTTGTCGATTTTCAGTGAAAAATTGGCTAATTTTGACTGCATTTTTGACGATATTGAGTCTTTTTTTTGACTGATTTCAGATCATTTTCCATAGAGATTTTGCGGCTTTTTCCGCCCATTTTTCTCCTAAATTTTGGCTCCGGGACGTTTCAGAACCCGACGTTTCAGAACTTTTCCGCATTTTTGTATAGTGGTTTTTGTACATAAAATGAGTATTGCTTATTTTAATTTGTTGTTTTTTTTCTGTTTTTTTTTTATTCGTTCTCATCTACCGTACTCCAAATAATGATAGATTCACACTCGGAAACTCTCAAAAAATCGAAAAAAAGTTGATATTTTCAAAAACGGTGTCATTGCTGAAAGTATGCTCCGGCTAAATGAGCAACACTCATTTTATGTACAAAAACCACTATGCAAAAATGCAGAAAAGTTCTGAAACGTCGGGTTCTGAAGCGTCCCGGAGCCAAAATTTAGGGGAAAAATGAGCTAGAAAAACCTTATTTCACTGAAAACTAGCCAAATTACACTGAAAAAAACCGCAAATATCCGTGAAAATGATCTGTAATCAGTCAAAATTAGCCAATTTTCTACTGAAAATCGACAAAAAATACGACAAAAATGTTGCGAATCAGCTCAAAATTGGTCAAAATCGACTTAAATTTATTAAAAACATCGAAAAAAAATCGCTGAAATTCAGCCAAAATTTGTCCAGAAACGCCCAAATTAAATCTAATGGGTATATGCTGAAAATGGCCAATTCCAAACGAATTTTGGCTGAATTTCAGCGTATACCTGAAAATTGGCAGAAAATCAGCTCAAAAATGGTCAAAATTCGCTCAAATCGCCTGGAAAAATGACTTGAAAATCGTCTCGGAGCCAAAATTTTCATAAAAATCGATATTTGTTGCAGGTCTCCTCGAACACCTACTTCTCGAACATGGCATCTGTCGCTCGTTCTCTCTACATGCGTAGCCGTGTTCTTCCCCGATCTCATATCTATTTTCAATCCGAATTTTATTGTTTGATTTGCTTTGAAAATTTACAATCACCGTGCCCGAAACAACACTCGGTCGTCGAGTTTTGTGTCGTTAAAGAGGTCAAAAAGTACGATTTTGACTGATTTTTGAGCTAAAAATCGATAATTTTGAAGCTAAAATCCCCATAAAAGCGGGGTTCTGGCACAGTCTAGACTTTTTAGAGCCCAAAAATCGATAATTTGAAGCTAGAAAATCCGTTTTCACTGATTTTCGTCGATTTAGGGATTTTTGAAAAATTCGATTTTTTTTTGGGAATTTTTATGTATTTTAGTCGATTTTTCTCGTTTTTCGTCGAGTTGTTCTGTAATTTGTACACCAAAAAAGTTGAAAATTTTGAAAATTCAAAAGTGGGCGGAGCTTAGGTCCGTTAGCGATTTTTCGAATTTTTGGTTTAAAAAAAGGTTTTTTCAATCGAAATTTTCTTAAATCCCGTTAAGTTGAAAATGTCCAAAATCCAAAAATTCAAACTTTTTGAAAATTCCAAAATTCGATAATTTCAAAAATCTGGAAATTCAAATTTCTGAAAAATTCGGAAATTTCAGAAATTCAAAAACTTAAAATTTTCAAAATCTCAAAAAATTAAATTTTCAAAAAAAAATCCCGAAATTTTCGAAAATTCCAAAATATTTGAAAATTTCAAAATTTTGAAAAAATCTAAAAGCTTTAAATTTTATGAAAAATCCCAAAAAGCTAAAAATTGAAAAATTCCAAAATTGAAATTCTCAAAAATCCTGAAAATTCGAAAGGGTAAAAATATCAAAAACTCGAAAATTTAAAAAATCCCAAAATTCAAAATTTGCGAAATTCCCAAAATTTTGCAAAATCCTAACTTCTAATTTTTGGGATTTTCGGAAATTTTCAAATTTTAGGATTTTTGAAAAATTTTGAATTATCAAATTTTCCAGGCGCCTCAAAAATCTTGGCTCCATTGAGAAGAAGGATTTGGCAGGACATTTGAGACAAATGATGGTGGAATATGACGAGGAGACGTTGAGATTGGAGGATTCTCAAGAGATGGCGACGTCATCTGAAACCGCCACGTCATCAGATCCCCTGGAGACGATGACGTCGCTTGAGGATCTTCAAATAGAATACACGATTCCACAGAATCAACCATCCACGTCATCAGCAGCGGTTCAACGGGGAGGGCTTTTTGTCTTTGAAAGCGCTCGAAGAGGACCGGGAAGACCTGCAAATCGGAGAAACAGAATTATGGGACAAAGGGGGCTGATGCTTCTTAAGGTGCGGAATTTTTGAAACTTGGAAACCAATAAATTTCTGAGATCGCAAAAAAACCTAGTAAACCTTTTTTCAAAATTTCTTAAAATCGCTCAAAGATTACGCAATAATCGCGCGAAAATCGCTCAAAAATCGCTCGAAAATTGCCCGAATATCGCTCAAAAATCGCTCAGAGATCGCTCAAAAATCTACGAAAATCGCTCAGAAATTGCTTAAAAATCGCTCAAAAATCGCTCAAAAATCATTCAATAATCGCTCAAAAATCGCTCAAATTTCCTCGGAAATTGCTCGAAAATTGCTCAAAAACTGCTCAAAAATCGCTTAAAAATTGCTTAAAAATCGCTCAGAGATCGCTCAAAGAATCTACGAAAATCGCTCAAAAATCGCTCCAAAATTGTCTAAAAATCGCTCAAAAATCACTCAAAAAATCGCTTAAAAATTGCTAAAATTTCCTCGAAAATTGCTCAAAAATCGCTTAAAAATCGCTTAAAAACTGCTTAAAATTGCTCAAAAACCGATCGAAAATCGCTAAAAATCGCTGGAAATTCCACAAATTCAGGAAATTTTTCGTAGTTTTTGGAGAAATTTTAGACCTTTTTTTTCAGCCATTTTTTGTAGATTTTTTAGTGATTTTCAGACGATTTTTTTTTCAATTTTTAATAGATTCTTGAGCTCAAAAATCGTTTAAAAATCGCTCAAAAATTGTTCTTTTGAGCCTTTTTCACGAATTTTGAGCCATTTTTTATGAATTTTCAGTCATTTTTCATGAATTTTCAGTCATTTTTCACGAATTTTGAGTCATTTTTTATGATTTTTTAGTCATTTTTCACGAATTTTGAGCCATTTGTCATGAATTTTCAGTCATTTTTCATGATTTTTGGGCGATTTTCTGCCATTTTTCAATGATTGCTCATTTTCCAGGAGCCCAAACGAGAAGAGCCATCCTTCCACCATTATCATCACAACTCGGCACCACCATCCCCACCACAAATCCATCGATCATCTCCAGAAGCATATTCCCCATCGCATCCTCAATTTCCATCCAAAAAAATCTACCCAAAAATGAGCAAACTGTGTCAAGGAGTGATTAATCAGTTGAGAGGACGAGGACTCGGACAGTTCAGAGCATCGGATCGCACACACTTCTGCTTGACTTGCCTCTCGTTCAAAGTAGGGAATTTCGAAGGAAAATTTGTAAAAAAAAATGACCCTAAAAATGGCTTGAAATTACCTGAAAATGGCTGTAAATCATCCCAAAATTACTGAAATTAACTCCAGATGACTTAAAATGACCCAAAAACGGCTGAAAATGCCCATAACATCGCTTTAAATGACCCGAAAATTGGTTAGAATGACTATAAAAATGGCTGAAAATGACCCCGAAATCAATAAATATTACTAAACATAACTATGAAATGACTGAAATGACTCAAAATAGCTCCAAAATCACTAGAAATGACCCAAAACTTACTAAAATAACCCAAAAAATGGCTTGAAATGGTATTCGAAATTGCTCGAAATCACTAAAAATGTCTTTAAATAATCCAAAAATGGCTTGAAATGACTCTAAATATGGCATAAAATAGCCTGAAAATAGCATTAAATGATCTCAAAAATTACTGCTGAAATTAACTCAAAAATGGCTGAAAACGCCCAAAAAATTGCCTAGAATGACTGTAAAAATTACTAAACATAACTATAAAATGGCTGAAAAAAAAATAACCCGAAATCACTAAAAATGACCCGAAAGTGACTTAAAATAACCCGAAAATCACAGAAAATAATCTGAAAATGGCTGAAAACGACGCAAAAAATGCCTTAACATCGCCCAATATCCACCTCTAAAATGGCTTAAAACGACCCCGAAATCACTAAAAATCACCAAAAATAACCCGAAAATAGCCTAAAATAACCCCGAAATCACTAAAAATATTTATAAAAATTGGCTAAAATGGCTTGAAATAGCTCAAAAATGGCTAAAAATTGCTTAAAATAACTGAAAAATCACTAAACATAACCCAAAAATCGTTTTGAAATGACGCTGAAATCACTGAAAACGACTCGAAATGGCTAAAAATGACTCAAAAATGGCTGAAAATTACCCTAAAAATAGCTTAAAAGGCCGAAAATGACTAAAAATGCAAATTTTCTGGGCAAAAATTGAAAAAAAATTCATTTTTCTGAAAATTTTGCAGAAAGTGGCTTAAAATGACACGAAAGTGGCTCGAAATCACCCGAAAATGACTAAAAATTACCCAAATATGTCTTAAAATAACCCTAAAATGACCCTAAAATGATCCCGAAATCACTAAAAATATTTATAAAATGGCTAAAATGGCTTGAAATAGCTCAAAAATGGCTGAAAATGCCCATAAAATAGCTTAAAATTACCCCAAAATCACCAAAAAGGCTTAAAATGACCTTATTTTTCTGAAAATTTGGCAGAAATTGAAGAAAACAAGTTCCAGAAATGCACGAAACAGCACGACGAGCCATGGCGAGAGCTGGAGCGTGTATGGCGATCGGAGTACGGTAATCAACGGGTGATTCCTGACGAGCTGGTCAATCAAATGGAAGAAATGAAGCATCGATTTCAGTGTGAAGAGGAGGCACTCGCTGTCAACGAATCACCGTCGCCGGAATCCTTTCAAACGTTGATCTGATTTCGATTTTTATTGATTTTATTGATTTTTCCGTGTTAAAGCCTGCCTAGAAATCTCATTTTTCTTGATTTTTAATCATTTTTAATCAATTTTCAATGTCCAGAAAGTTCCAAAAATCGTTTAAAATCATTTTTTCACTCGGAAATTCCCATTTTTACACCAATTTCCGTCTCAAAATGACCTGATTTGATTTGATTTTCATTGAATTGTTCGATTTTTTAGCAATTTTTCTTGGTTTTTATCATTTTTAATCAATTTTACATGTCTAGAAAGCTCCACAAGTCGTTGAAAATCATTTATTTTTCAATGCGATTTTCTCCAATTTTTCTCACAAAAATTCCAATTTTTAGCCTTCTTTTTCTGCCTCTGAATCTCTTTTTTTTCCCCAATTTTTATCGTTTTTATATTGTTCAAGAAATCATTTTTGTGTTCAAATCCTCTATATTTTACCCATTTTCAGCTTTCAAAAACGCTATTTTCCCTTGGTTTTACACCCTAAAAGGCGGTTTTTGGAGTGTTTTTCACGATTTTTGAGCTTTACAATCATTGTTTATCCCCCATTTTTTCTAAAAAATTCCTCGCGGATAGTGCTGTGTCGATTGTTGACAATCGACAAAAATCGTCAAAATCGGTGTCGATTTCGTCGACTCGATCAAAAATCGATATTCTAAAAGTCGACAAAAAATTGACTTTTCAAAAGTCGATGAGATTGAAAATCGATAAGAATCGATTTTTGTCGATTTTGAATCGACTCAAAATCGACAAGAACCGACTAAAAATCGATTTTTAATCGACTTTCATGTCCGAGAGGATTACAAGGCCGGTGACCTAGAAACTGTCTGTTTTTTTGTTGTTGTGCCTGTTTGAAACTGGCAGTGTGCTACATTTTGATATGGTGGCCTAACTTTTGCAAATTTGCTTTTCTAGGCCACCACTTCAAAATGACCTAAAAATGTCCTAACATGATTCTGTTGTGTTTTTAGGCCATTTTGACATGGTGGCCTAAGTTTTGCAAGTTGAGTTTTCTAGGCCACCACGAGTTCAACTGAAAACCGAAAAAGTCGATTTTTCGTGGACTTTTCTCGATTTTCGTCGATTTTAAGTCGACGCAAATACGACAAAAGTCGATTCTTGTCGATTCTTGTCGACGTTCGTCGACGCAAAATCGACAACGGAAAGTTCGATTTTCATCGACAAATAGCCTTGTCGAATTGTTGAATGTCGATTGTGTCGAATTCAAAGTCGACAAAAAATCGTCGATTTTCGAGTCGACTCGGCACTCTACTCGCGGAGCCCTTTTTGGACCCTGTTTGACCCTTTTTTTTTGCCACTTTTTTTTTCAAATTCTCTCTATTTTACCCGTTTTCAGCTGCCAAAACAGCCCAGGAACACTATTTTCCCCTTTTTTTGCCCTAAAAATCGGTTTTCAGAGTTTTCGACCTGGTTTTTAGCTTTTAGATCGTTGAAAATCCTCTTTTTTAGCATAGTTTCGACTATAAATGCTTTAAAAAGCTCGAAAATTAAGGATTTTTCCCCTTTTGCACCTATTTTTATGTTATTTTTTTTAACTCAATTTTCATGGAATTTTTCCTAGAAATGCTCGTTTTTGGACTATTTTTCAACATATTTCTCTTCTGCTTCCCCTATGTTAATTGTATTTTTCTTTTTAAAATCTTCTATTTTCTGTTTCACCCGCAGCAGTTTTCGAACCCAATTTTTCCTGATTTCCAGGAATTTTTTAAAACCGATTTTCATTGATTTTTTTTTCATACGGTGTCTTTTTGATGAATTATTGATTTTCAAGTTAAAAAAGGATGTCGAAAATTAGCATTAAAAATTAGTAGGCTTAGAGTTAATTTTCCAGGAATAAAACCGAGAAAAAATACAGAAAAATGGTTAAAATAGATGAAAAATGTGTCGAATTCATAATAAGGAATTTTTGAGGGGTACGGTATATTAAAGGCGCATAGTTGAATAATCAAAAATTAGTATAGTTAAAAAAGGTTTTTTTGGTAATCAAGAATCTGGAAAAAAAAAGGGGAATCTTCTGAAAATTGGGGTATCAGATACCGTAAACACTCTAATAGAACGCCACCCGAACTGTCAAATTTGAGCCGATGTAGCTCATTTTCTGTGAAAGATATCGAAAAGTGGTAAACTGATAAATGTTGCTGCTATCATGATAAACATTTTATCAGTTGACAACTTTTTGATATCTTTTACAGGAAACGAGAAAAATTGGCTCAAAATTTGGGGTCCACCTAAATGCTCTAATAGAAGCCAGTACAATTTGAGTTCATTTATCTCATTTTCTGTGAGAGATATAAAGAAGTGGTTGACTGAAAAAATGTTGGTGATATCATGATAAACATTTTATCAGTTAACAACTTTTTGATATCTTTCAAAAGAAGTGAGATATTTAGGCTGGACGGTCCGGGTGGCGTTCTATTAGAGTGTTTATGGTATATAGCAAAAAAAAATGTATTTTTTCACAATTTTTCAGGTTCCTTAGAAAATCAGCAAGAATAAAAGAATCTGGAAAAGAGATTTGAATTTCTGATCTAAAAAGTTGCATTTTTCCAGATTTTCAGTTTTTTGAAAAATCATTTTCCACTCATTTTTAGTGAAAAAGGCTTACTTTGAAGACTACGAAAGATGTTCAGAATTTTTCAATTCGTCTGAAAATTTCAGAGTATACTAAACAAAACGAGAGCTTAAATTTTGTTGTTGACAACTTTTTGATATCTCTGATACAAATCAAGATAATAGAGCTCAAAGGAAACAAGCTTCCTTGGCGCCCCTTCTCTATCAGCACTCCTGGTCACGTTGAGCTCAATTATCTCGGTTCCTATAAGAGATAACCAACACTTGTCAATTAATAAAATGTTGCTGATATCATGATAATCATTTTATCAGTTGACAACTTTTTGATATCATTCAAAAGAAGTGAGGTATATAGGCTCAAAGTCCGGGTGGCGTTCTATTAGAATGGTTACGGTAAAAAAAATATTTTTTACAATTTTTTCAGGTTTATCCGAGAATCAGCAATAATAGAAGAATCTGGAAAGAAATACATAACAAATCCATCCTTGCATTTTTTTAGATTTTCATATTCCTAAAATTCGTTTTCAACTCATTTATCCTTTTTGGTGAAAAATCACCTAATTTTGGAAGACTACAAAAGTGGTTCAGCATTTTTCAATTTGTCTGAAAATTGCATATTATACTAAACAAAACTAGAGCTTTAATTTAATAGTTGACAACTTTTTCGGAAAATTTCATCTAAATGAGATAGGTGGTCTCGAAGTGTCCTGGCACTTCACTCGGCACGCAATCTGGCATTATTAGAGCGTCATTCCATACTTTAACTTCAAGCTTTTAAGTTAAAACTATCTCGGCTTTTTTGAGAGATATCAGAAATCAATCAACTGATAAAATGTTTATTATAATGCCATCTACATTTTATCAGTTGGAAACTTTTTGATATCTCTTATAGGGAGCAAGATAAATTGAGCTCAAAGTTAGCAAGTGTTGTGGTGACGCCAGCCGGCGGCGCGCAATTAAAGTTCAATTATCTCAGTTCCTATGAGAGCTATAAACAATTTGTCAACTGATAAAATGTAGATGATATTATGATAAACATTTTGTCAGTTGACAACTTTTTGATATCTTACGAACCCAGATAATTGAGCTCAAAGTTTGCAAACATTATTTTTCAATGTACTAAGATAAACATATTTTTAGAGCATAGAAAAAATACTTGAGAATCATTCGATTTGTCTGAAATTTTTCAGATTTACTAAAGAAAAATAGAGCTTCAATTTTGTAGTTGACAACTTTTTTGTGAAAATTCATCCAAATGAGATATGTCGCTGTTAGTGGAGGTATTGGTCAGAGCTTCTCGGTGTCCTTCAATGGGGACATTTAAAGGCACAGATCGCGAAAACTATGGTAGTTAGAAAAAAGTTGTCAACTACAAAATTAAAGCCCTAGTTTTGTTGAGTATGTTCAGAAATTATCAGAGAAATTGGACAATTCGACTTTTTTGGGACTTCAAATTTGACTTTTTCCTTGAAAATTGAAAATTGGTATAATTTTTCTTCTTCTTCTTCATAATTTTTCTTATTTTTTTCCTTTTTTCCATCTTCTTCTTCTTTGCTGACACCTTACGAAACACCCCCTCCCCGCATTCTCTGCGTCTCCTCCTTCTCCACACGTGTCAGTGGAGCGCGCTTGCACCATTAGATTTAAAAACGACCGAAATGGGTTAAAAACATGAGTTTTCTACTATTTTTTCAGCAAAAATCGAAATTTCTCGAAAAAACCAAAATGCAAATTGGCTTTAAAAAGAAATTTTAAGTTTTTTTTTTATTTTTCCACCGACAATTTTCTATATTTATGAGTTTATCGGTTTTTGGAGATAACTGGAAAATATGGAAAATCAATAGGGGGCCAAAATTTGAATTATTTTTTCGAATTTTCCCTTTTTTCTATAGATATCCTATTTTCAGACTACAAGGTCTTCAAACATGAGTTCAGGATCATCAATTATGGTAAGTTTTTTAAATTTCGAAAAGTTGGATGGCTTACTGTAGTTTGGAAAAAATTGGGATATTAAATTTTTGGATTTTTTTTAACGAAATTAAAGCTCTATTTTGTTTAGTACACTCAGAAATTTTCAGACAAATGGAATGAGCCTAACGTACTTTTTCCGGACTCTAAAAATATGAAACCCACATTACATTGAAACATAAAGCGTGCAAATTTTGAGCTCAATTACCTCGATTCCTGTGAAAGATATTAGAAATTTGTCAACTGATAAAATATTGCTGATAATATGATAAACATTTTATCAATTGACCAATTTTTGATATCTCTGATAGGAAGCAAGATAATTAAGCTTGAAGTGGGCGGTCGGCGCCGCTGGTTGCGTGACCACTAAACTTGCACATTTCGAGCTTAATTATCTCGGTTCTTTTAAAAGATATCAAAATTGTGTTATCTAATAAAATGTTGCTGATATTATGATAAATATTTTATCAGTTGACAAATTTTTGATATCTCTTATAGGAAGCAAGATAATTAAGCTCAAAGTGTGCAAGTATAAAAGTGACTCAACCAGTAGCGCCGGCCGTGCCGCGCATGAGCCTTGTTTGAGCTCAATTATCTCGATTTCTGTGAGAGATATCAAAAATATGCCAACTGTTAAAATATTTATCATAAAATTGTTAACATTTTATCATTTAACCACTCTCTGATATCTTTCATAGGAACCGAGATAATTGAGCTCGAAGTATTCAAGTATAGTGGTGATAGAACCAGCGGCGCCGAGCCCTGTTTGAGCTCAATTATCTCGGTTCCTATGAAGGATATTAAAAATAAGTCAACAGATAAAATGTTGCTGATATTATGATAAACATTTTATCAGCTGACCAATTTTTGATATATCTTATAGGAATCGAGATAATTAAGCCAAAATCGTTATTTTCTCAAACTAAACCCATTTTTCAGTACCACTGCCAAAAAACGGGATGCATATCTGGATTCACTCAAAAGAAGGATATGATTGATCACATTTTTATCAATCATATCAAACACTGGAAAGCGAGAATGGGAAAGGAAAATGAGGTGGTGGTTCGAGAAAAAAAGGCTAGGAATGGAGAGAAGACATTACCAAAAGGGGTCAGTTTTAAATTTGAAATTTGGATTTTTTTTGTCTAAAATCAATATTTTCAGATTTCCTGTTTCTGGAAGAGATGTGATAGCTGCTTCACAAACAGAAAAGACATGGAGCAGCACGTCATCTCGAGCCATTTTGAGTTGGATGATGTGGAATGGGTTATGGAGGACGAGGAGGAGGAGAAGGCGTCGGAAATTCTGGATCATTCAGAAACGAGTGGATCTCAGGAACCTCTAGAGGAACGGAATTTGAGAATTCCAGATTCTGGAGAAGACACCTTGAACAATGCTCCAGAATACGCTAAGCCAGAATCGCTCCTCTCACGGATTCTAAAATCCGAGCAACGTCTAGTCCGAAGACTTCAAGACGCAGAATTCAATGACACTGATTGTACAGTAGCAAATCCGAGACCACAGAAGCGTATGAGATTGGATTATGATCTCCCGGGATCATCCGATGCTCCAGAATACGAAGACGAAATGCCCGACGAGCTTTGGCCTCCGAAAATGCCAGCTATGAAGAAACCAAAGCGGCAGTCGTCAGCGGATTCTGATTCAACGTCTTCAGAAGTTCAATGTTCGTCAAGCACAACCACCAAAATCAAGAAATATAGAATGAGAACATCCAGACGACCTCTGACAACTTGGAAAAGGCCAGCACCATCTGCTCAAGAATACAAAAATTCAGATGGGGAAGACGACGAAATGCCCATGTCGAGACGAATCACACGATCCCAGAAAGCATGGCCAGGGGTTCCAATTGGGTCGAGAAGAATCACACGATCTCAAAACCCATGGAAAGAAAAGAAAGCCAAAAGGAATTCGGTGTCAGGACAAAACGAGGTGAATAATGGACTTTTACTGTTTTAGTTCAGAGCATCTTAGTACAGTTTTTGGGTTTAGAAGGGAAGATAATTGGATAAGCCTTGTATCCTTGATGTGTTAAAGGAGGCCAGACACGAAAGTCTACGGGGTTTTCTTGGGGAGAGATCATGTATTCTGACGGAAAGTCGTGCGATTGCGACCAATGCGCGCTACTTGACGAGCATTTATTTTTTTTTAGTACACACAAGATTTCTTCAATGTTAGGCGATAATTCCAGACTTTTTGCCGATATTCTGTCATTCCATGATGTCGCCGCATGAAAACAGAAAAAAAACGAAAATGGAAATATGGGAATCGAACCCGCGATGCGCGACCGATAGACAATCGCGTTCACCTCTACACCACACGGCGCCTGTCGTCTAGTGCCGCTAAAACGATTATGAAACGAGGAGTGTGCCGCCGCGTGGAAGAACGTTCGCATTCTCGCTTATACGGCAACATGGAGTTATGGCTGGGTGTCCATTGTTATTTTCTGACTGTACTGTGTCATATATCAAAAAACTAGAACTGTGAAATTTTTCATGTCTGGCCTCCTTTAAAAATAGCCTACCCCTCCCAATTTACTCGGCTGTCGGCGCCAATACTTGCAGAAGTCTCTGAGCACAATATTCTTTGTATTAGTTAAAACTTGTGGCAGTCTTGTGCAAGACTTGTAGTAGGGTTGGCCAAGTCTTGTATTCTGTTGGCCGGGCTTTTTCCCGAAATTCGGAGGCCCGACCCGGCCCGTTACAAGTATGTTTGTAACTTTGTCCACACATTTTCGAAAAGATTGAAAATTTAATATATTAAGTTG